ACGCGATAGGACGTGCGCCAATTTCTTATACCCCCAAGAATCGGCTTCGTTATCTTTGTGAGTCCCAGGAACAGAAGCAACGAGGAACACGTTCACATCTGAAAAATCAGCCCTCCGTATCGCACATATCCACTGCGTCAATGCCGGATGTCTATATTTATTAAAATATCGCTCGAGATCCTTTTTAAACCCTGTTGGAGATTCTCCATCACTGGGATTTGCAGATTCTGGTAGCCGAGGCAAATGAGGCGAGATCCACAATCTAATCAAGATACAATAAAAAAATTATTATCGACAAACATTATATTAATAATAAAGAATATCTAAGAATATTTAATAGACCCTTGTGTCCTATTTTCCCAGTCATCGGAATATAAGTTAGCAGTAGAAACAACCACCCTGATCCCATCATCTTTATATTGCAGGATCATGATCTTCGTATGATGGCAACCAAATTTGGTCGGCATGTCTACTTCTATCATGGTAATGTTGTTGTTCAATTTCTCACGATCTACTCTATCACCGTATAGAATCATCATATCAGTACATTGACCAGCCAATAAATACTGCAAGCACAACCATCCAACGTCTACCATAAAATTTAAATGAAGACTATTAACAATTTCTCCAAGACTACGGTCGAGAATCTCAGGGAATGTTATGGAAAACTGTTGATTATAAGTCTCCTTTGAATTTTCGATTCTTGTAAAGAATAAGTGATAAGGCGCTGAAAAGGCATATTTTATTGCAAACTCTCCTGGTTCTACAACGGACACTGTATATCCAGAGCGTCTCATCATCTGAATAGCTTTTTTCCTAACTTCCTTTCTTGATTTTTCAGAATCACAGAATTGATACATATCCATGATAGATGTTCCTGAACTTGTACTTTGCTCATTGCTTCTAGAACTGCTTTGAGAGTCACTGATATTCTGCTGACTATCCTTAGTGCAATTGCTGCCTTCTATGCTCATCTGTTTCATCTTCTTTGTAACAGAAGAGCCAACTTCTGATGCCTCCATACTTCTCTTCTTTGCCTAATAAATAAGCTTATATTTACTTGTTCATTTTCTATAATGCAAAATTTACAAATTTATTCTGAATTCTACTAACCTTGATGGTTTCTGTATGATTCTCACGTTCTTCTCTGATCAAAGCTCTAGAGAGTGCCTGAGCTTCTGCATCCATCTGCTTAAGTTTATCTTGCCTCCTCTGCACTATAGCTTTCTTATGTCTTTCTACTTTATCCTTCAAATCTTCTTTAGTACTTGATACATTAGTAGTAGAAGAAGATTGTACTTTAAAAGATGAATTATCAATTCCAGACAATTGATTGTCCTTATTTTTATTTCTCTCCCTTCTAAGTACTATTTGCAACACTTTCAATTGATCCAACAATTGTGAACGATCATTACATGCAAAATGAAGCACTTCTGGTATTTCTATCGTGCCATCCAGCTGATTTACCAGTAATTTTTCCACTGATATTAAAATGATATTTGTTAATATTCGATAATAATATGTGTAATAATTACGTATAAAATTAATAAAAATATATACAAATAGTTACAATGAGGATGTGACATTTCACCGAAGTGAATCGGATTTTTTCGGTAACATTTCTCCATAAAAGGACAAAGTTTCTTTTCTGCAAGTCAAATAAATGTCAAATAAATAAATAAATAAAATATTCCAAAATCCAGAGAATTGACAGGTAACGTTTACAAATTCAATATCATCACCTATAGAATTCATTGTTGCAATAGAAATTAAACGAAGGAATTTACACAGGAAACGTCTATGCTCGACGTTAATCACGAATAATTGACTAACTCTAAATTTCTTTATATCTTTCAAATAATATTATGTAAACGTAATCATATGGAATTCCACATATTTGACAAGAAAGCAATAAATGATTCCACAAAAGGTTACTCGTCCTAGAGCTCTACAAACGTACAGGAGAAACAAACTGAAGCAATACGCCATCTATAACTGCTTTGAAACTGGAACTTCGTAGCCAGATTTCAATACTGCAGATAAAATCGATTATATTATCTACAATATAAATTTATCCTAGCATGGAACAAAACCGAATAAATTCCGATTAGAATACATTTTAAATAAATAATCCATAATAGATTAATATATATATTCAAGAAATATAATTAATCAAATAAAACCAAAGTTACACATTTATGCGCTCAAATAGGACGTGTATAATCAACGTGTATAAATTAAATGATATGACGAAATCTTATAAAATTTCAAATCTACAATTATACAGGTATGTGTATTATCAGGGTATCAATCATGAAACTTTTTTCCTAGAATGAAAAGTGAAAAGTGAAAAATGTCTCCATTAACTTCAATAATTAAAATTTTCACTTTTCATCCTAGAGATAAAATTTCATGATTGACACTCCAAAAGCTGACTTAAGGTGTCTTTTCATGCTCGACGCTCATTTTTAGCATTAAATAGGTCACATGATCGAAAGCGATCCTTGATATTCGTCAATTTTTATCACGTGATTTGTTTTGACGCTAAAAATTAGAGTAGATATAAAGAGAGTATCGATCGCCAATTAGCCGGAAGTCGACATTTAGTATCCTACATCGCAATTCCTCATTTTAATCTCTTCTTTAACGTTGCTTCTTTCTAATTAACAGCAAGGATACTTACGCCCATTTCTATCAACGTAGATTAACTTTAATCTTGGTTCAACTTATTCTTTGTCTTTTTCTAATCTTTAGAATTGGTGGAAATGGACATTAAAATGACGGAACCGATCAGCATTAGGCACACGCATTGGCGCTACTCTTTTTATATCTATTCTACTAAAAATGAATGTTGAGCGTTAATACAAAAAGGCATCTTTATAATCTTAAATGTGTCCACGATGCTAGAAATTGGTCCGAGTTCTTGGACATAATTCTCATACAGAGTTCTCTTATCTCGAATGATTCTATACTGTTGATTTAACTAAATCACTGTTCAAGTATTCTTGTTACAATCGGCAATGATTGATTTTTTACGGCTTTATATTTATTGAAGGTCCTTATTATACTAGTTATTATCACAATTTTCTAATCTTTAAATAAATATTTATTTTAATAGAAGCGTAATAAATTATTTATTTACATAAAATAAATTGCACAAAGCATTTGTGCAACGTGTAATATTTTTTTCATTTACAGAAAGCAAGGTAAATAGAATATAAATTTCCAACGACTGTTCTAGTGGATCATACCACAGTATAACTACGTACAGTAGCGACAGTAGCTATCGGCTTCTTTGATGTCACCGATCACGTGACTGTCAGCCATGTTGAGGGTTTTACGAACCACTGAATTTAAACGGCATCAAGAGACGTTATAGTATTTCGCATAAAAGTATTTTTTAAATTCGGATAAATTCTATATATGATTTTAAATATATCACTTTACTTTCGAAAAGATCAGAATAGAGTACATATAAATCATTGATTTGAAGAAATCTGGAGCTTGTGTATCTGAATTGAAAGAAAGAGATTTAGTTATGTCTTCCATTAAAATTAAGGTATATGCATTATATACGTTTACTTTAATAGATAATCAAAGTCAAACTAAATTGGAATTTTGTCATTAGTTTTTTATGTTTTAATTGTATTACACATATATTTGCCATATATAACAGAATAAATATTTATTATTTTTCTATTTATAGATTATCTATATATTCTATTTATATATTCTATTTATATATTCTATTTATAGGTTATCTTATAATTATGTGCATTCTTTACAATTTCAATGTTAATATTGGTAAAAGTTCATTTAAAATTATATGAAGCATTTTTAAATATTTAAATAATTTTAAAAGAACAATAATGTTTTAAATTTAAATATTTTGACGTACACTGTCAATAAAAAATAGCTTACTAAGTAAATGTACATTATGTATAATTATCTAAGGACAATTCTTCAAACAAGTAAAATTTTTATAAATAAATTTGTTAATTCATACGAAGTGTTGATATCATCTTTATTTGAACTCTTAAAAAATCTTGAATGTTTTGATTCTTTTTCATCAGCAATTTTCTTAATTCATACTAGACTTCGCAGTCAAGATAGAGTCATTCGCAGATTGCCAAACCTGTAGTGTAATCTGTTTAAATTTATATACTTGAGATATTTAAATTCAACCAAAATAAAATAGTGAGTAACTCACTCACACGCCAAATCTCATAATAAAATTTTGGATGATATATTAATATTCACAACTAATCACATTTTATAACACATTTTATGTAGATTTGTTTGAATTCTGTCCAAACCATCCGGAGTGACGAATATGTCTAACGAAACGTTTAAATTGACAAAGGTCGGATCAACGAAAAACAATAAGTTATAATAAATATAAAATATAAAGACAGTACATTCGTATTAAGTTGCTGATTTTAACATATATAACGTATGTAACACATTTAATATATATAATGTCATAATCATGTCATATAATAAATATAAGAACAGAAAATTATTGTAATAGTTTAAAATATAATTTAATACAAGAGTTAAAATGTCAAAAAAAAAATCTAGAATAACCAGTCAAAATTTAACGCGTCGCATTAACATTTTGCGTAAAATTATGTAGTAATTTATAATCATTCATTTTAAAAGTTACAAATATAATTTAATACAAGAATTAATTAACAAAAGAATATATCTGCATGTTTTTTTAAATTAAATATCTTTAAAATTATATGACACATATCATTTCCATAACCATAATATGGCATCAAGTTAAATCCCATACTAAATTAAGTAAATAATATTAATTCTAATGACACATATCATTAGTATAAAAGATTTGATCAACAACTGGCGCCAAGTTAAATTCCATACTAAATTAAATAAAGAATATAATTCGATGTAACTATCTTTAACTTTCATATCATTACTGATAATTGAAATATATCACATTATTTTTTCCATGTACTCTCTAAGTTACATTGCAGTTACGTTTTGATTTCCTGAGTCATCTACCATAAGAGTAATAAAATTAACGGGAAAATGCTGTGTTGCATTTAATAATGATGAAGTGAAGATTCTGAAATCATATTTTTTGAGTAGAATATAGCAGTAGATTGTACATCTATTTTTTTTAGTAGAGTATAAACATTTGAAACAAATTGTTATGATACGTTGTAAATGTTTCTATCGGCATTTAAAAATATGGTTATAATTTCATTTCGAATAATACTTTGTGTTAATTTATCGTAATTTCTTAATTTTTGTACAACAAAATTTCCAAAATCTGTTTCGTCATTCCGTTTGTCTTTTAAAACTGAAGCATATGTTTCTAAATTTTGAAATGCTACATCTGAACGTTGATCTTCTGATTTTATTCTTCTCGATGATTTTTTAGACAAATTATTAGAAATTTTATTCTTCTTGGATAAATTATTGCTTTCCTGAGTTTCTTCTTCATCCGATACTTCCATTTGTTTTGTATATTTTTCTTCAAACAATATCTAGAACAATTAACATTTCTTTAATAATATATTATTTTTTAAAATAACATAAATTATTACAAAATTAAATGAAAATAAAACTCCATTAATCTGACAATCCTACATTTTTTCTTAAGTATAAGATACTAATATTTTGAAGTATCATTATTTAATTTGTGAAAAAAGCCAAGTTATATTTTAAATGTTACTAGAAATTAAATACAATTTAAATATTAAAAATTTTTGTAATCAAAATAAATAATTAAATTTTCTTTCTATTACAGCAAATTAATGATAAAACATAATGTAAGATGATATAATATGAATGCTACAATTCTGAATAAAATAAGATTTTAGTTTACTTTTCGAGAATTCTTTTGTTTGGCATACTCTCCCAGTAAAAAAATTTTTATACGTATATACATATACATATATATGTCTAACATACATGCATAAATATTCATAAACATATAATTATATGAAATATGTTCATACAGCCTTTTTTCTTTTGTAAAATTGCTTTTTAGTGTACTCAAAATAAAAATAATAAGAATGCATTAAAATTAATTAATGGGAAAATTTTCGCATTGAAAAAATCAAATTTGGAACAATGTTAAAAAAATTGCTCATAATAACTGTATAATTTTACATACAATTATATATGACAATTCTTTTACATTTCTCCAAACTTAATTTCTTCTAAAACAAACAATACGAAAATTTTTCTTTTAATTTTTTATATCTTCTCGTTACTACTACTATTATTATTATTATTATTATTATTATTATTAATACTATTATTATTATTATTACTATTATTATCATTATTTTATCTAAAAAATAATTTTACAAATGAAAGAAAGATTTATGAACACATGTATGGATATAAATATGATTAGACTGACAAAAATAAAAATGTTGTTTAATTGGTCTCTCACCTCAAAAGCTTCCATTTTATGCCAAAAAAATAACCCTAAATTTTTATTTAAAAATATTAAGATTTAGAGATCGCTAGTGAATGATTTTTAAATCAAAGATTCGATTTTCCTTGTTTTTTCCTAGTCAGTCTAATATATCATATATACAAATATGTTTATGAATATATGTTTACATATTTATATATATTCATGCATGAAATATTTTTTACTGGACTTTAGTATCCTCCTCTCATTTAGTATCATCCGTCATTGACTTATACATTTAGATCCAATAGAAACTAAGGATAAATACCAATCATATTGGAAAATCTTAAAATAATTAAAAAATTACTTTTTCTGTTGAAGACAGCCATTTAGTCCAGCGCAGAGAGTTGCAAAATTCTATGACGAAAGGACCATCATTCCATTCATATTGGGATAATGGAAGATCGTATGGAATCGGAAATATCGGGACGACTGGGTCATTTTCATTTACAATGGGAAATGTCGTTGTTTTAGTCTAAATACAGGTTTGAGATATAATAATTAATGTTAATCGCGACCAAGATATATGTTTTAATAGGTTATATATTTTAATAAAAAAATATTAAGGCTTCTCCTGAGTAGTCGCGGCGGTCATGTTGGAACCGTAAAACAAGGAATGATATGTAAATTTATGTTGCAAGTCATTTGTAAATAAAAACAATTTGGATAAATCTAAATGATGAGATTGCTTTAAAATACCTGTAAAAATGGGCTGTCTTTTTCTCCTTTAATAGTCAGTAAATGGTCGTAAAAGACAAGTAAAGTGAGCCTAATTTCGGGCAGAAACACATGGTTTGAATAACTGTTGAATGAAATATACGCTTTTACGTATTGAATTACGTATTTCAGGATAACTATAGTTTCTGCTCATTTTTTTTAGGACTTTCATAAGTATGAGACACCTTATATTTTCACAATTGAGCAAATAATAACGAAATAGCATGCAGCATAAATTTTCGGCGCGCTGAAAGCACATGTACATAGGCTTGTGCTTGTATGTGTAACTACCGATTTCGCTACATTTCGCCAAGTCGTCGACTGATTTTGAATCGCATGCTGACTATTCAGGAGCCTTAATATGTTAGAAACTGTATATTGAAATAATAATATACTATAATTATTAAAATAATATAATGCTTACGATAAATTTTGGTACAAATATAATACCGGCCTCGTAGTTTTCTATACTATAACCGTGTCGTTTGATTGATCCCCATGCGGCTTTGCTTAGATTTGCGCTGGTGAGCACAAACCAGGGTATGCTTTTTAAGTCGGGCGAAATCCTCGTATATGATTTAATATGAGGCATTGCACGATCTCGTTCTGTTCGCTTTGCTTTCCATTGGCTACCGAAATAAATATCAAATTCTGTAGAAAAAACAGATCACGTCTAGACAAAATGTAAACAAAATAAAAATGTAAACAAAATAAAAGGTAAACAGTTATAGCTTACTGCAAGTATAAATCTAACCACTGCTGCTTAGAATGCGCTTCTGCACTATAGGGTGAGCACCAAGATAAATTTTTATAATGAAAGCTCTGCTTGTAATTTTGAATTGATGGATAAATAAACTTAAATTCCGGTTGACCTTTTGTACTCTCAGTACTTTCTCTTGACATACACGGAATTATATCCTTCAACAACCAACTTTCAAAAGATGAACCAAGTTTACCTATGGAGGAACTTTGTGCAACTATAGGCCACGGAAAAACATCTGACGGCAATGTCACGTGACGTGATAGAACGTGCGCCAATTTCTTGTACCCCCAAAAATTGGCTTCATTATTTTGATAAATCCCAGGAACCGAAGCAATGAGAAACACGTTTACTTTAGAAAAATCCGCCATCTGCACTGCACATATCCACTGCGTCAAAGTTGGTTGTTCATATTTACTCAGATATCGCTCGAGATCCTTTTTAAAACCCGTTGGAGATTCTCCGTCACTCGGATTCGCGGATTCTGGTAGCCGAGGTAGATGAGGTGAAATCCACAATCTGATAAAACACAATAAAAATATATTCATAAGCAAACATTACTAACAACAGAGAATGTTTACGAATATTTAGCAGACCCTTGTGTCACGTTTTCCCAGTCGGTAGAACGCAAGTTGGCAGTGGAGACAATCACCCTAATTCCATCATCTTTGTATTGCAGAATCATGATCTTCGTGTGATGACAAGCAAACCCGGTTTCTATGTTTACTTTTATTATAGTAATATTATTAAATAATGTCTGATAATATGCTTTGTCGCCATACAGAATCGTCATATCAGTACATTGGCCAGCCAATAAATATTGCCAACATAGCCATTCGACATCTACGATAAAATTTAAATGAAGACTGTAAACAATTTCTCCAAGACTACAATCGAGAATCTCGGGGAAAGTTATAGAGAATTCTTGCTTATAAGTCTCCTTGGAATTTTCAATTCTTGTCAGAAATAAATGATAAGGTGCTGAATAATCATATTTTATCGCAAACTCCCCTGGTTGCACGATTGTGTGGCCCAATTTTCTCATCATCTTAATGGCCTTCTCACTAATTTTCTTTCTTGACTTTTGGGAATTACATGCTTGGAATATATTCATGATGGAATTCATATTTATAGATGTTCCTAAACTTTTGTTTCTAGAACTATTTTGATGGTTGCTGATATTCTGCTGATTTTTATTTTTAGTGCGATTATTGTTCTGTATGTTCATTTGTTTCATCTTTTTCGTAACAGAAGAGCTGGATTTTGATATCTTCTGGCTGTTCTCTCTTGCCTATTAAAGAAATTTATATTTATTGTCCTTATTTTTCACAATTTAAAGTTCACAAACTTATAATTTTTAATTTTACCAACTTCGATGCTTTGCGAATTCTCACATCCTTTGCCGGACAAAGTTGTAGAAAGTGCCTGAGCTTCTGTTTGAGTTTATCTTATCTTCTTTGTGCTCTTGCTGTTTTATGTTTCTTTACTTTTTCAATCAAATCTTCTTACTTTTAATACTTCCAACATTTGATGTAGCAATAGACAAAGACACATTTAAAAAATGAACCACCAATTGTAGATAATTACACATATAGCACAATATATTTTAAATTGTCCTAAACAATGTTTCCAAATGCAAACTTAAAGACGGCTCAATAAGTAATGCTCAAGATTCCAATAAAATATTATAAGAATAGGATATCTTGAAGATAGGATATCTTTATGATATCAAGTGCTGCATAATAACCTTATTAAAAAAATTGAAATAATATAATAGAAATCAATACGATTTACAAAAAAATCTTATTATCTTCTATCGTAATCTATTTTTCACTTTTCATATATTAAATGAAATGTTATTATTTCTTATTGTTTTGTTCTTTTTTGAAAATGGATTTAAAAATTAAAACACAATAAAATCTTTACAATAATTCATAATTTTTTATGATTTTGTTTGTTTTATTAAAAAAAGTGATTGAATCCAGAGTTAAATAAGTTGATGTTTTTTTAACTAAATTAACTTAAAGTTAAAATATTACATAAATTATAAACAATTCTTTAACGCTCGTATAACTTTCAAACAAATTAATAAATAGTAATAGTAATCAGAGCTCGTTTAATTGTTAATCTGGATTACTATTTATTAATTTATTTTAAAGTTAATGGTATATAAAATTAACTTAATAATAAGATATCTAAGCTTCTATTGATACATAGCTCCATATTAGCCACTTAAATTTAGAATCTATCTTGTATTGAATAACAAAATATATATATTTAAGATGACTCGATATGAATCGAAACATTTGTAATTTTTTATGTAATTTTGAAGAATATATATAACGTTAATTATAATAAATTTATAACACAATTTTGCTTGGCTCCTCTTTCAATTATTTCCTTTCTAAATTTTTTCTGATATATTAATTCCTTCATTTTTAAAAGTTACTACTTTTTAATTTTATTTAATTTTTATTAATCAATTACTACCCAACTCTATAAAAAGTAATCATCAATATACACAGTAGGATTCATAATGTAAAAGAAGCTTGAAGTTTTCTATTAAACAGTTACAAAAGGAAAGCTATCTTTAACAATATGCATGTATTAATAATTCAGAATTCAAAACGCAAGCTTATCATAAAATTATAAAAAACTTTTTATCTTAATTTATTGTTCATTTTGCTTTTGATGTATGATCAAATAGTCTCCTATAATTTCGAATAATTTTCATCATTTAATATGAAAGAGATTAATACTCAAATGAGATTTTCCAACTCTTAATTGTGTGTATCTATGATGAGACACATACACACACACAAATTGTTTATTATTTATAATATTAAATTATATTATTAACTATATATTAATTATATAATTGCACGCGCTAATTATTTAAATAGACTTAAATAAAATATAATAGATTAGAGATATTGATTGTCTCTGTTTCGTTTTTTCTTTTCTTTTCTAAGCAACATTTGCTATACTTTCAATTGAACCAGAAATGAAAGATTATTACATACAAAATGGAGCATCTCTAGTATTTCCATCGTGAATTAAGCAAATCTATAATACTAAGTAATATCTCCACCAAAATTTTAATCTTTGATAATATTGATATACTAACGGCACGTTCGCTCACTTTTGACTCGTATGATAAATTCGCGCGCGTCTCGTGAAAATAAAAGGCACGTTTTTTTTTTTAACAGGAATATGAACGTTTTTTTATTAAACGTGTCAAAATGTCAAAGCTCGAAATCACAACAATCATCGTTAATAGGTAGAGTATCCTTTCTTGTCTTTTGAATATACTGCGAGAGACTTTGACACACACTTATTGCGTATACAGACACTTCAAGTCAACAAAGTGGCTATTCTACTCGCCGACGTCAAGAAAATGGGCGTGTTCAAGTTGATAAAGCGGCTAGACTGCTCGCTGAGCAAATGATTAGATCTGTTCGTATTACTTGAAATCCTCAAAAATTTTTTAACTCAAGATAAGCTAGATATATATTTGAACATTAAAATGAAAAAAAAACGAAGATGCTGAATGCAAAAAAGTATATGCAACGCAAATAGACCTATTGTATATACTCACTTGCGTATTTTGCACGCACAACACTTTTACTTTCGAAAGAATAAAAACACAGATTAGAAGATAAAGAAGTTTTACAACACTCTCGATCCCCGAGAAATTTTACAACAGATGATTGCGTTGAAGATAATAAGGACTCCGTTAATTGTACTCATTAATTAGTACGTAATTAATTAGAATGTACACCAAAACGTTCGCTCGATGCCAAGCTTCCGTTTGAATCCTGAATTTGAAAAAAGACAGCTCATTAATCAGACGTTGTTTAGTTGTTGCCAGCAAATATAAGTAAGATTACGACAGAAAAAAGAACGTGCCTGATATGCTTTCTCTAAGTTCAATACTGTAACTGCATTGACGACTTAGTGGGTTCTTATTGCGTCTGATTAGATCAACAACTGATGGAACATGACACTGTTAAGTGTATTTTTTTGTATGTATTTATTATCATGACATTAATAATGTAATTACTTACTTGTATGAACATGTAATTTTCAATTATATTAGGTGTTGGAATTAATTCGTAGCGTTTTACAAGTGATGGGAAGTACTTTCATTAATGTATTTTTTAATGCTCATGTGAAATAAATAACATTCTTTCATTAAAAAACGCTACGAATTAATTCCAACACCTAATAAATCAAAACAATAAAAACATATTAATTTACTTGATTCATATTACAATTATACAATTTATTATAAATATTTATTCACAAAAGAACACAGTTTTTCCTGAAATAAATATGTTTAATACTGCAATCCAAAGACTTAACGGATAACGAATTTATAATCTTATAGAATTTACTAATAGAATTTATCATCATGAATGTGTTTGAGTACTATGACCAAAATAATTTACTAAATGAGAAATGTTTGATTTCAACAGCACGAAGGAGGCGGCATTCTAACTATGAATTTCTTCATTTCTTTTCAATAATAACGTTCGGTAAATCAAATCATGACATTCTATATATAATTCCAAGAAAGTGATAAACGGTTTAGCAAAATGTCACACATTCTAGAATTCCACGAACATATGAGTATTCCCGTACATTTTTATAGCATAGAGATAAGCAACATGCTTAGTGCTTAAGAGCTGAAACTTCATAGTCATGACTCAGTGCTTCAGATAAGATCGCCGCATTATCTATAATTTATATATCAGAAATGTAATTAACTAAATAAAACGTCATTAATTACATAATTAATAATTAGGTTCTAACACTTCTGTTGATTCCGTTCGAGATGCTATTCTAATATAATATAATAACAAACATTTACGAGAGATGAAGTTGTAGAAACATTTCGAACTTTAAATTCTTGAACAAATAACAAATCATCTTCTAAATAATGATAACGTATTAAAATTAATAACTTTTTAAAATTAGTAACAAGTAGCGATAATATTATTTTTTTTCAAAAAGTAATGATAAGAGTAACGCGTATTTTTTAAAAAATAACTTGAAATAACTTTTTTATAAAGTTATCGACTCCAATGTAAATCAAAATAAATTGGTTTACCAGCACCTCGTTCCCTCAACCAATAAATGTACAATACAAACACGGATGCTAAAATATTTTATCATTTAAAATAGATAAAAAATACTAGTACTATCAATTGAAATATTACATTTCGTTTAGAGAGTCGATAAATTCATTGATGAAAGGACTATCGTCCGAATCATATCGACTTAATGGAAGATCATATGGGATCGGAAATGTTGGTACAGCTGCATCTTCTTCTTCCCCAATAGGAAATGTCGCTGTTCCAGTCTAAATATAAACAAGTGAGATGTAATAATTAATATTATAAAACCTTAAACACATTTGCATAGAAGAAAAGGTGGTATTATGGCCAGTGTATATATTGCGGTCCTCCCTTAATATCTCCACTATTATATAGCGAGAGAGAGAGAGAGAGAGAGAGAGAGAGAATACTATTTTTTAGTACTGAATAGCTTATATGCACAAATTATGCGAATGTATATACATTCATTTGCATACATTTTAAAATGTTTTACTTTTTTGTTAATTTTGTAACTAAATACTGTTTTTAAACAAAATTAATATTCTAAGACTATTTTTTGAAAGGTCACAGTATCATCCATGCTTTTCTTCGAGTCATTATGCAATGTCGCCACATTTTTATTTTTATTAAAAGTATCCTAAGTAATAAATATTTTATAACTTTGAGTCCAGAATCGATTCAACAACACTTTCACAAATGTAATTGTCAAGTTTTAAACTTAAATATTGATTATTTACAAAGATATTGTGTAGAATGTAACTGGAATGCCATAATAGCATCTTCTCCTTCAATATATATATCCATAAATATGACAAAAATTATTAAAATAATAATGTGATGCTTACGATAACTTTTGGTATGAATAGGACGCCAGCTTCGTAGTTTCCTATAGAATAACCTTCATATCGTTTGATTAATCCCCATGCGGCTTTGCTCAGATTTGCGCTGGTGAGCAAAAACCAGGGAACTCTTTTCGAATCGGGAGAAATCCTTGTGTAAGATTTAATACCAGGCATCGCACAATCTCGTCCTGTTCGCTTAGCTTTCCATTGACTATAAAAATTAAGAAATAAATGTAAAATTGTAGCTGTAAAAACAATGGATTGCTAAAATGTAAAAACATGACCGTAAATATTTGAATAAAATAAAAATAAATAAAATAAAAATAAATGACTTGTAACTTACTATAAATATTGTTCTAGCCACTGCTGCTTAGAATGTATTTCTACACTGTACGTCAAGGAAGTAATTAAATCTTGACAATCAAAGCTTTGCTTATAATTCTCTATTGACGGATAAATAAACTGAAACTGTGGATGATTCTTTAAACCTATAGAAGTCTCCTTCGACATACACCGAATTATGTCTCTCAATAACCAACTTTCGATGGTT